AAAAAGCTCTAAAGCACACGTGGAGAATGATCATTGGGTATTCATTTTAATGTCATCTTCCAACTCAGATGACGTCTGTGTATGGCCTACTTTTCATTTTCCTTCTATTAGCTGTTGATAGGTTAGGTATGTTTTATCTTTTCTTTCTAAACCAGGAAACTTCTTAAAAGTTTACATAAGCAACCCATCAGCTTTCCTATCTTAATTCTTACCATTGCCAAAAAAAGGGAGAAGTAGAAGAAAACAAACAACCCCATCCTGGTATTTTACAAGGAAAAAGGAGCTTGAGAGTTTAGGTGTGTCACTCCCCAATTAACTCAAAAGTTGCTTACCACATCCAAATCACCTTTTTTTATCAACAGGATGCTCTTGCAGAGTGAACCACCTCCATTCAAAGTAATTATCGTTATTCCCGGTCCATGGATTGCTCGTGCGAGAACCGGTGGCCACCTTCGTCTGTTACAAAAGCAACCAAACCAGACAGGGTATCAAGGGATTTAGAGTTATCATTCAGCTGGCATTATGGATTGTTCTAAGGTGGTCCATACGATACGATGTTCATAAGCATGCGAAAAGAGTAAACAAGAAGAAGCATAGTTGAGACTGAAATGAAACTTACCGCTTCCGACATCAAAAATATCTCCGAGCTTATTAATGGCATCGATAAGTGATTGTTCGTGGTCCTGGACAGAGTAAGTTAGTGTATGAATTAAAAGGTGAAGAGAATAAAATGAAAGACTGCAGCTGAATCAAATGCTTCTTACATTGAGAACTTTCTTTGCCCTTTCAATTTCAACTGGATCTGGATGATTTGAACCAAAGACTCTCTCCAACTAAACAAAAAAGTAAAAAATGATTATATATGGATGCTAGAAAGCCAACAAATTCATAAAGGCCAAAAGAACAAATCCCTTGTGCTTGTACCTCTCTAATTAGAGTTTGTGTGTGGAGTATCCGTATATCGTCGGATGTCTTCTTGCCGATGCCATTTTTTGATGGCAAAAAATCTTTTCTCGACTGAGACTTGGTGACTCCTCTACGTCTACCTGCACCCGAGCCATCATGACCTCCCGAACGGTTCATTCCGTGACCTGATCCACCATAACCACCTCTATGTGGGATTCCTGGATCCTCATCAACCCATTGGAAGTCCTCCGGAGATATCTACACGGCCAATTCTAGGTATAAGCACAAGCGATGATTGTATTCCATTTCTAAGAACTCAGATCTTCGAATCCAGTGAAATTTCGAATAGGTAGTGCTTAATTCGATTACATAACATAACGGAATATTGAAATTTAACAAATGTATCTTTCCATGTAGAAATCATATAGGCAAAGAACTAAGTTATGGAAGGAATCATTGCCAATCCAGTAATCCTCTAGAAAAAGGATACAAAACCCATGTGAGATCCCACATCGATTGAAGAGGGGAAGAAACATTCCTTATAAGGGTGTGGAAACCTCTCCCTAGCAGACGCGTTTTGAGGGAAAGCTTGAAAGAAAAAACCTAAAGAGGACAATATCTGCTAACAGTTGGTTTGGACTGTTACAAATGGTATTATATCCAGACACCGAAAGATGTGCCAGCGAGGACGCTGGACCCCAAGGGGGTGGATAGTGAGATCCCACATCGGTTGGAGAGGGAAACGAAACATTCCTTGAAAACCTCTTCTTAGTAGACGCGTTTTAAAACCTTGAGGGGAAGCCTCAAAGGAAAAGTTCAAAGAGGGCAATATCTATTAGCGGTGGGTTTGGGCTGCAACAACCCATCATCCATCCCCAACCAAGTTCTTAACAAACATTTCAAAACATGAATTCTGTGCCTATATGATTTTCACACGATTTCAGATATGGAAAACCCATAGAAGTGAGGATGCAAGTATCTCGAGTTCAAAGAACAAGTGCTAGATAGATATACCTCTAAGAGATTAACCCACTCCCACGTCTCATTTGCAGAACCAATATCATAAACCAAAGCGTGTCGTCCCTGAGTAGACATAGATATACTTTCAGCAACATTCCTTACTGAAATACGAATTAGTAAACCATTAAAGAAGATAATTTACCTCAGCAGCATTGTAATCAGTTATAACAGCTTCATAAAAGTTATTATCATCCGGCCATCTAGTTCTTACTTTCCTCCCAATAAATGGATTCAATGATGCTCCTTCAGCTGCCTCAATGGCTCCAGAAGAAACCCTATTAGCAACTTGACTCCTGCCACTAGGAACTGAAGTTTGGTACTGTTTAGCTACAGATTTTTGTTTTTTGCCCTTGGTGGTAGGGATAGCTCCTCGTTTTGCAACAGACGACGATGGCTGATGAGGAGAAGCAATAGTTTGTTGGTGGAATGATGGAGATGGACCAGTAAACGACTGTGGAGGAACCAAATGGGTTAGTTTCTGTTTCTTGCGCGATGCAGAGATGGTAGGGCTGGGTATTGGATCATGAATAGCTTGGCTGGTACTGAGCTTACCAGGCTGATGCCCACCTGCCTGTCTCCACTCCCTGTAACATGACCCGAAGGTATCCATCAATATTAAAAAGAGCCCTCAAAACTACAACCTCTTAAAGCATTGGTTGATATTTTTCTTTTTCATGTTATCGAACCTTATAGTTCTAATCATGTCATCCGCGTTAACTCGTCCTAGAAGCTCTCTATGCTCTTCATTTGATAATCTTAACTCTTTTCGGAGTTCTGTGATCAAACTTTCTTTCTCCTAAAGAAAATACATTCCGTGAGGCAATCATTAAAGCCTAAAGCCTGATCAAATAAATTTACGACTATTAGATACTTGAAATATAAACAAAAGTACCCAAGTAATGGCATCAGCTTGAGCTTTAAAGGCTCTAAGAACAGAACTGTAAGCTTCCTTCTCAAGTTGATGAATTTGAGCTTCCATGTCAGTTTCACCATACATCCTGTGATATGGGACAGAACCCATGCCTGATCTTCCATTCCCTGAAACACGGCCACCACCTCTTGCAATTCTATTCTGGTGCGATGGAGGGAGATCATCATCGGTTCCTGAAATGGACGGTGTAACAAATTATACAGCTGATAGTTATTGTGTAATTTGTGTAATGATCCAAACACACCACTAGCAGATATTGTCCTTTTTGGGCTTTCCCTTTCCGGCTTTCCATCAAGGTTTCTTCCCCGGAAAGGGAAAGCTTAAAGAGGACAATATTTAACCATTGTGTTCCAAACAGGACAATAACACTGATAAACTAGTTCCTTCACAGATACTTTTAAATGCTCAAAAACCAAACAGCCAATCATCCAAACAATTACAACCATTTTTATACATGGTATGTTCTTAACCAGCTCATCACGGCTCATGGATTAATGAATTCCCTCAAAAACAAGTGTAAAAGGTCTCCAATCCTCACAAAGCAAGATTGGAAGCCCAACAGGGTAAAATTCCCAAATAGAACACTTGAAAACCCTAATAATTGAAACGAAAGCATGATTAGAGTTAACTTACTTACCGCTACTATCATAGGGCTCGATGTCCATAACCAGTTCGCAAACCGACCGAAAACCCTTGGATACACTGAGAAAGACACCGGAAAGTATAATGTAGAAAAAGAAATCGGGAACAGAGGAGAGTAGAGGCGCCGAGTAATGTGGCGTTGGAGCTCAAATCTGGCGGGAAGAAGACGAATCGCCGGCGGAGTGCGCAGAAATTGGGGTTGAGATTGAGATTGAAGTGAATTACGTAAAATGGGAACCAGCGGCGATGGAGAAATAGAACACTATGAACTCCTAACCTGAGTTTGGGACTGAGTTTGCGAGCGCAAGAACAGTTTTTTGGTCATCAAAATTATGGGAAAAAAAAAAAAAAAAAATTCCGGGACAACGGATGTGAACTCGATCTACAGCTGAATTATTTCCGAGCTTATAGTTGTATTCAATTCCGCTGGCTCGGAATTTACCTATTTGCCCATTGGTTTATTCTTTTTCATTTCAGCCGCAAATCGACACCCTCTCTCGTTTTCATTCGGCTGTCGACGTTATTCAGCTGTTCGTCGTCGCACCGTCTGCGGCTCGAACGACAGGTTGTTCTCTGGCTTGACATTCTATCTCTGACAGCTTTGGGTTCGAACGACGACGCGGGGTTTTCGTCCGACCGGCTTCGGCTTCTTCCTGCGACCATGATTTTGGTCTCCGACAGCACAAGGTACCGCCGGCTATGGGTACTCGACATCCTTCGTCCCCGGTCCCTTCGCTTCGACATTGGTCCGGTTTCTTCAACATTTACGGTCGGACTCTTCGCTTGCTTCACCTTTCTCTTCCTCTCATGATCGATAGAGGGAATATGGTTTTTTTTTTTTTTTTTTTTTTTTTTTTTTTTTTTTTTTTTTTTTTTTTTTTTTTTATAATTATTTTTTTAAATGTCGTATGCATATATAAAACAGGCTATTTCTCAACTATTTTGTCTAAATAATAATAATAATAAAACATTACTAATTTATTTTTATTTTATTTTTATGTAAACAAATAAAAATACATTAATATAGGAATAGAACTAATATTTCACGTTTTACATTTGTATCATTTTTTTTATACCAATATTAAGTATGGGGGAGAGTGTCACAATCCAAGGAGTGATTGTGCCTCTAAGTCGGTGAGGATGATGGCTAGTTTAAATGGGGCAGAATGTCACAATATCATTATAAGTAGAATAGGTTGTGACCTTCATGTTACAATAAGAGAAACGACTTTGGAACTCATCGGACCACACGAGCGCGTAAACGAGTGTGATAATGCTAGTGAAGAGAACAGTGGATCATCTAACACACCATCACACAAATAGGTATTGAAAAGAAGTCAAGTTATAAGTAAGGTAAGGGCAATAAGAAGATAAAAGTTCTAAGAATTATCTCATTTATAAACATTTTAAAAAATATATATAAATTTCTATTACAACTATAAAAGAAATTTAATTATTTTATTTTATTTTTTATTTTATTTTTTTTTAACAGAGAAATAAAGGAAATTTTAGAGATTAAAGAACCATTTTAAACCCTTCAAACAAGTTTTGATGCGCAAACGAAATTATACAAATTCAAATTACGAAACCTAGTCATCGTCGCCGGTGAAATTCAGAACCGGCGCTCGTTCCAGTGTCCAAGATGGCCGAAGGAGATGCAACTGTGTCAGCTTCCACAAGCTCCAACCGAGAAGGAGGATCATCACTCTGCGAAGAGTGTAAATCGAAGCCATCCAAGTACAAGTGCCCCGCTTGCTCATTGCGCTCTTGTAGCCTCAACTGCGTCAATGCTCACAAGAGGCACAGTGGCTGTACTGGCAAGAGGAAGCACATCCAACTCGTCCCGCTTTCTCAGTTCAACGATTCCATCCTTCTTTCTGGTACTTGAACTCCCTCCCTCGATTCATCTCACTGGTTTTGAATGTTTCAATTACTACTGATTTTGCGTTAGTGGTTCTGGAACTGTTTAGCTTTGTAATTTGATTGGATTCGCATATCTGTGTTCTTGCGTCTCTAAGAATGGATATAATGGTTGTTTTTACGACATGTAGATTATAATTTGCTGGAGGAAGTGAAAAGAATGGCTGAATCAGCTCAAAGATTCAGAAAGAAATTGTGCCCTTATACTCATGCTTACTTTCGCCTACCATTTCATCTTAAAAGTTTGGGCACTGCTGCTTCAAGCAGGAGAACAAAAATCATGTTTCTCCCTACAGAAATGACAAAGGGAAAACAATCAAACTCGACATGACAAGAGGTTATCTTCTCCTTATTTATCCATGTGTTATCTAGAAAGCTGTATCCTCTGATGTTGAGGACTGATGGAAGAGAGTCTCACATTCGCTAATTAAGGGATTATCATGAATTTATAGGTAAGGAATACATCTCTATTGGTATGAGTCATTTTGGGAAAACCCAAAGTAAAGCCATGAGAGCTTATGCTCAAAGTGGATAATATCATATCATTGTGGAGAGTGGTGATTCCTAACATAATGATGTGGTTGGTTGATTTTCTTAATCCCAAGTACTCAGTAGCAGAATTTTAGATGTTTTTACTCCAAATGATGATCTTGGTTTGTTATTGTATTTGAACTTTGTAGACCATTGATCACCATGTAAACATTTTGTATATTGACAGTCACTTCACTGTGCTCAACCTTCAAGTTAGTAACTGTAGTTTGTTTTAAGAATGGAAGTGGTCATACTGCAGGTTTGATAATAAGAATTCTTCAGGATTAGGCCAATCAATCAGGCACCTAGTTTGTTATTCTGGGAAGCAATTCTACTTAAGTTTTTCTCTTTTCTTTTCTGAAATTGTTCCTTGATAAACGAAGTTTCTTTGTTTACAGGGAAAAAACAATCTTCTGGACAATGGAATGGCGGTTTAACTCTACAGATATTGTTTTAGTTGACCATGGGTGAGTTCTTTTCCCAACGCCATAGGAAGGATGGTTTATTATCATTTTATTTTGGTTCTTTCCTCCAAAATCATGCCTAGTGATTGGACCTGAATAATGAAATGCTTTGAAAGTATTTCCTTTTTCTGCAGAGTTAATGAAAGCTCGAAGCTCTGTACCATTCTTGAAAACCATCTACAACCAAGTCCGTGGAAAAATCAACTTCAGAAGTTCTGTGAGCAGCTGGATAGCCTCAAATTTTTTGTCCGTACAAATCCCAAGGTTTTATTTCAGTTCCTTTGGGTTGTTTCTCAAGTATTTCATATAAGATGTAGTCGATTAGTGGCATAGCCCGTGAGATCCCACGTTGGTTGGAGAGGAGAATGAAGCATCTTTTATAAGGGTGTGGAAACCTCTCCCTAAAAGACGCGTTTTAAAACTGTGAGGCTGACGACGATATGTAATGGGCCTAAACGGACAATATCGGTTAGCGGTGAGCTTGGGCTGTTACAAATGGTATCAGAGTCAGACACCGAGCGATGTGCCAACGAGGACGCTGGGCCTCCAAGGGGGGTGGATTGTGAGATCCCACATCAGTTGGAGAGGAAAATGAATCATTCCTTACAAAAGTGTGGAAACCTCTTCCTAAAAACACGTTTTAAAACCGTGAGGTTGACAGTAATACGTAATGGGCCAAAGCAGAAAATATTTGTTAGCGGTAACCGGTGCACTTCTGTCCTACAGCCCGCTTGTCATTTGTCTGTCATTATTTTGTAATTACAAGGTAGAGAGCCATGTAGTCTCTTTTTTGATGTAAAAGAAAAGGTAAAGTAAACCGCTCTAGGATTAGTGTCATGTTTGAGCATGGAATTAGAACGATTTTGTCAATTCACTTAATGAAGCATTCCTTAAGGACGGATTGTATAGTAGCTATTTGCTTGAAAGAATTAGATATCCAAGAGCTTCCTTTAACTTGCCTTGTTTATTATGTTTAATATGTATATAGGGAGCTACATCGCCTTTCCGTGAGCTGGACTCGAGATTGCCAATTAGACAACTATTTTACAACTTGGTTTTTGTGGAATACCCTATTATATATGTTGTTCTACCCTCTCAAACTCCCAACTTCCAAGTAGTTAAAACGGCCAATCCAATGAGTCATAATCCAGAAGATACCAATACTGGAAAAAATGATCTTGCTAGTCATGAAGGTGTTGCCTTCAGGGTGGAAGAAATAGAAGATGATGACAACTCCTGCAATCCTCAGGTTCTTGATCTGTTGAAAGTATCAACTTCAAGCCCACACCCAAAACCTGCATGGTGCTACACTGGGGAACCATGAGTTTGGGAATGGCCCGAATTCAAGCTCCCAGGCCGAGGAGCTAGCAGTTCCGAAAGGATTGGAGTTTGATTTTGAGCAAGATCTGCTAGATACATGCTCAAATATCATGGCACAAATCAATTCAGATGATTTTCTTGATTGGGAAGGAGACTTTTCCAAGGGAGTTGAAGAACTGGAGGAAGGAGAGATTATGGAATAGTGATTAGCATATCGTATATATGTTTTTTTAATGACATTTGGAGTGAAACGTTATTATTCACAAATCCCGGACTGCAGGAACTATAAAGTCATATTTGAGGTGAAGTTCTACAATATTTACGAGCTTGCCGTTCATAGTCTGTATTTCTTTGTTATTTGGAGAAGTTATACTCAAGATAAAAGACAATTCTACAATACATTGGTTGGTGATAAAGTAATCTCATTGCACCAGAGGCCTCATGAACATGAACTAAGAAAAAATTGAAGTTTGGAGGTTCTATTTGAACCAATGCAAGAAATCGTATGAGGAGATGCTGCTCACCGTGCTCCGGCAGTAGCATCCAAGGAGGAAAACCACTGCATCACTCCCGTCCTTCGCAGAAAACCAGAGTCCAGCCATTTGAAGGCAATGGGCAGACCACTAAAATGCAGAACAGAAAGACGAGTCCCCTATTCTTCTTTTTCCGCTCTGTCATGGTTTCAATGTTTTCTCCACAAAATCAACAAGATCTTGTGGAAAAACTCGGCGTCCAGAGCTTTTTAAGTGACAGAATGAAGAACTATTCCTGTAACCTTTTGTAGACTCTTTAACTCAATTAAGCCTCTACCAAACTGGAGGCTTCTTTGGAAGAAAGTGACCAATGTGGTGAGAGAGAAACCACTTTTCCAATTATAATTAAAGTAGGTGAAACCAACTCTGCTGCTTTGATTTCATCTGCAAGATCCTTCAGTTCTGCAAAAACCTGCACAAATGTAATAGATCCAAGCAAGATTTGTTAAAGGCAGGACACCAAGATGAAATGAAAAGACCAAGTGAAAGTATGCCCTGCCCCCTTGATATTAAAGTCTAGGCCCAGATGTCACTAAAAAAGTAGCTCGATGTAGAGAGATCTCCTGGTTTAAGTAGATTTGCTAGAATGGTAACGAATCGGAACTCTACCCAACTCAGAACAAAAGTTGAAGGCAGCAGAGAATTGTGCTTACTATTCTTTGTTGGGGTGTTGTCCCTCGTTCAATGGCAGCAGCTGGGGTATCAGGGGGCAGACCATGATGCATCAACTTAAGGGCCAGAGATGGAAGAGTTGATAGACCCATGTATACCACCAGAGTTGAATCTGGATCAGCTGCATTCTCTGCGACAAATAGAGGATCGGTTCCACCCTGTCTCGAGTGACCAGTGAGGAACCTGACACTTGTCGCAACGCCCCTGTGTGTCAAAGGAATTCCCAATTCAGCAGCTATACCTGAAGCAGCAGTTATCCCTGCAAGAGAAACAAAGGTACTTAAGAGTAGTTTCCTTAAACTGGTGATGCATAGAGATTACGTTGGGAATAAGAATGTAATATGTTAATGACAGTTCAGTGATTGATTCCGAGCATGAAGCAAATTCAAGAGACCTTGTAACCAAATCATCCTCACTTACTCGAGCTTGTCTTACCTAATTTCTTACTCCGGGTTCTATTCCACATAACTTAAGGTCACTCCATTCCCTTCATTTGGAAGGAGTCAAGGACAGAAAATAGGGTACCGCTAACAGATGTTATTCTCTTTAGGCTTTCCCTATTGAGCTTCCTCTTTTGAGCTTCTCCTCAAGGTTATAAACGTATCTGTCAGGGAGAGATTTCCACATCCTTATAAAGAATGCTTCGTTCCCTCTCCACCAATGTGGCTCATAGAAATGCTCTACGTCGATGTGTTAGAATGTAAGCCTCGCTGGGAGCGCCTACGAGTGCCTAGCCATCCCAAACAGGTGTTACATTCTAACCTAATATGGTTCATCCACTTCTGAAGGGACTGAAGAACTGGATTCAGAAATGCACTTACCAGGAACAATTTTGACTTGAATCCCTTGCTGTTGCAAGAAATCCATCTCCTCCCCACCCCTTCCAAACACCTAAAAAGAACACAAACAACAGAATTTTCAGGATGCATCACTAAAAATCATTTGAATGAGCCATTCAAAATTCAGACTTACAAGAGGGTCTCCTCCTTTAAGCCTCACAACTGTAGCTCCAGCTTCAGCAAAGTTCAGAAGTAACTCATGAATCTCCTCCTAAACAAATACCCATTCAGCAAAAATCTCAAAAAAGAAAAAGCCAAACCAAACCCATATTAAGTAGAGATTTTCAGAAGAAAAAGCTCACCTGGGTTCTGCTATGGAAACCAGCAGTCTTCCCCACATAGAGAAGCCTAGCATCAGAACCCACCAAATCCAACACATCATTAGACACCAATCGATCATACAAAAGCAAATCAGCACTCTGAATCACTTTCACCGCCTTCAATGTCAAAAGCTCTGGATCTCCAGGGCCAGTCCCCACCAGAAACACATTCCCAGGCCCACATTTCCCATCATCGCAACCACTACTTGCCCTCTTTTCCCTCAGCACCTGCAGCAATTTCTTCAGCTCCGGCAGCTGCAAGGCAATGTCATTCTGCCGTATAGACTCAGAATCACACGAAATAGAACACGATGAAGCAACAGAACTTTCATCCGCTTGGTTCTTGTACACCCAATCGTCTCTTTGGTATCTCTTCACGGAATGTTTCTCTGTAAATGGCGAAGAAGAAGAAGAGCAGTGAAAAGAACAAATGGGTTTGAAATTTGAGGATCTGGGTATTGTTGGGCGAGACGAAAATAGCGATGAAAGAGACTGTAGGTCGCAAACACGAGCCATGGCGAAGGAGAAAGTGGGAAAAAGCGATGTCCGAAAGGGGAATAAATATGGGATAAATGAGAGGAAGCCTGTGGCTCTACGGCTCTAACACATGGACTTTGAGGAAGATGAGAAGGCAAAAGGAAAGGAGTGGCGGCGGCCTGCCTAAAAAAATGAAGTAAAAGGGGAAGGAGACGAGGAGTGGCCTTTTGAGATGTGCGAGAGACCAAATTGAAATTCCTGGGACTGTCCATCGCAACTCGAGGATTTTTTCTGCCTTTTTCTTTTGAAATAGCAAATAAATGCGCAACTCTCTTCGTTATATGGGCCGTCGCTGAATTGGGGCGTAGCTTAATTGGGCCAGCTTAATTGGGCCTCGTGGTCCAGGAATCCCATCCGTTATAATGGCCTGGCCCATGATTATTATCAAGTAAATGAGCTAGCCGCGTGATTTACGAGCGTTGACTTTTCGGAATATCCACGATTTTGTTACCCAATATAATAATTAATTGTTTTATTAAATATAAGTTTTAATTTAAATTTTATATTTATTTGTTAGTTAAAATAGATTAGAACTATAAATTAAAAAATATATTGAAATTTTATGGATGAAATAAATATAAACGCATAAACTTCTAATTTAGCTTAGATTTATTTTTTTTATATTATTTTATTATTTATTCACAGATTCAATAATGAGACAATTTTCATGAGGAATAAAAGCTCGACCTCGAAGATCGAGCTAACCTCCCACCGGCTTGGGTCACAAACAATCAGAATACGCCACGTGGAAAAGGTAAGGGGTATTTTAGTCATTTGTGAAAACTTCCAAGGGTGGTCTCTGAAATCTCTCTTTTGTCTCACCGTCGTCGTCTCTGGACCTTTATTACTTCGGATCTGATGATTTTGAGAGGAGAGCTCTGTAGTTCTCTCTGAAAATCGAAAATGCCTCAGATTTTCTCCTAAGAAATCGCGTCAGTATCAGAATCTCCCAGTTTCCCTCATTTGGGTGCGTGATTTCTTGTTTGATTCAGATTCTTTTAGTGCAATCTCCACTGTTTTAGCTTTTGCTTCCTTACCCTCTTCTTATTTTCCAAGAATTGCTAATGGGTCGTGTCGATCGGTGTGTCAATCGAACGAAATCACATTTGGGTTGTGGTCGATTGTGGCACCTCTGTTTCTGTAAGACTCTGTTTGATCGAGTTAGCTTTGCATAGCTGATGATCTTAGCTTCTACATACCAAATTGATATTTGTTAGCTATTATAATGGCATTTAGCAGCAATCCGTGGCTCATTTGCTTCCATAATGTTACTTAGGGAAATGGAGTTGTGTTTTTGTTTACTGGTTTGTCTGAAAATTTCTTATGTTGCCACAGATGTATAGAGAGGCATATGTTGTCTATCAAATGAGGGAACATTTTCAATTCATGTGATATAAGCAAGAGATGAAAGGGGGGAACATCATCAGGGTGAGGGGGGGACATCTTTCCATTGCCTTGGTTGTTCTTATGTTTACAACCATATTGTTATGGAGTTGGGATAAAAGCTATTTTGCTAGTTTTCTTCCACTGACAAGACAGCAGTATATGATACCACTTTCAGGTATTTGCCCAACTGATCATAATTATATACTCTTTCTACCATTTGAGAAGTTTCTTGTGAATCTATGTTAAGAATGGGATAAAAATTGTAGAATTCTGCGCCTTCTTTCTTTGGAAACTTCACTTGAATGCTTAAATGTCATCAACTTGAATGATTTTCATTAATCTCTGTCTTGTTTTCTCTTATTTGTTCATAGCATTGTGCTTGTAGATTAATTTTCTATATCATGGCTTAGAATATGTAGTGAACGTGGCAAATAGTTCCTCAACATCAACTAATCCAAAGGATGAAATAGGTAATTCAGAAGACAAAATGAAGGAAAGAAGTAATAATAGAGATGAAAAAGAACAACCAGGAAAAGGTTCAGACTACTCTGATGCTGATTCTATCTCCAAAGGTAGAGCTTAGATTCTCAAAGTTTAGGCACATATTTGTTTGTTCTTCGTAGTTTTACACTGAATTCAGCTTTTGATCTGTTGAAAAATGATATCCAGTTCGTATCTAAGATATTGCTGCTCTTTCAGTTTGCAACTACGCCAAAGGTAGATGGGTTGAAGACAATAGGCGCCCATGGTATTCCGGGTTAGGATGCAAACAATGGCTATCAATAATGTGGGCCTGTAGACTAACAAAAAGAAAGGACTTTTCTTATGAAGGATATAGGTGGCAACCGGAAAATTGCTACATGCCTGAGTTTGAGCGTTCATCATTCCTTAGAAGGTACTTGAGATTTTATCCCTCCATGAGCGAAATGCTTGTGTGTATTGTATGCTTAAACCTTGTTAGTTCTAGCGATTTGACTGCAATTTTGGTTCTTAGAATGCAGAACAAAACACTTGCATTTATAGGAGATTCATTAGGTAGGCAGCAGTTTCAATCTTTAATGTGTATGCTCACTGGCGGGGAAGAGAGCCCTGAAGTCGAAGACGTGGGGAAGGAATATGGTCTAGCCAAAGCTCCCAGGGCTCGTCGACCCGACGGATGGGTGTATCGGTTTCCAGACACGAACACCACCATTCTATATTACTGGTCAGCCAGCCTCTCTGATCTAGAACCTATTAATAGAACAGATCCAGCAACAAATATTGCAATGCATTTGGATCAACCCCCAGCTTTCATGAGAAAGTTTCTCCATGAGTTCAATGTGTTGGTTTTGAATACAGGACACCATTGGAATAGGGGAAAACTTGAAGCAAATCGGTGGGTGATGTATGTTGATGGAAAACCAGTGGAAGAAAAGAAGCCTTTGGATATGGGGAAGGCCAAGAACTTGACTGTATACAGCATTGCCAAATGGCTCGACTCGCAACTTCCCCGACATCGTCGTAATCTAAAAGTTTTCTTTAGGACAATTTCGCCAAGGCATTTCTTCAATGGGGATTGGAACACTGGAGGATCCTGTGATAATATGATTCCTATGTCTGGTGGGAGTGAGGTTGTCCAAGATGGATCTAGTGACATTGTTGTTGAAAGTGCTTTAAAGGGTACCAAGGTGAAGATCCTAGACATAACTGCCATCTCTCAGCTGCGCGACGAAGGGCACGTGTCGCGCTATACCCGTCGAGCAATCTTAAACACAAGCGATTGCTTGCATTGGTGCTTGCCTGGCATACCAGACACATGGAATGAACTGCTACTTGCACAGATATAGTTTTGCATATCAGTGCTTTCAGAGTATACAAGATTCTTAGTAATGATTGTGGCTGAGAATCTATCAATCTACTTCAAATAGGCTGCCTGAAAGTACTATTGAAAGGATGTTACATGTTCTTCGTCCATGTTATTTGAGAAAGCGAAGAAGCCGAGCTATTTCGACTCGTTAGAACGAAAATTTGTTTCTTCACTGTTGCTGGCCTCATTCACTCATCAATATGTGTGGTGAAAAGTTTGCATCAATGGCTGCTCTGATCCATGAAAGGCAAACCCCTCCAAGTAAGGCTTTCTGCTTATTCCTTCTTCTTTTGACATGCATCATTGAGAATCCTGATTTCTTATGAGAATGGTTTGGGGATTGAATAGTAATGATCGCTGTTGGAAGAGACGATTTGGAACAATTTTTTAAGCACTTAGTTGCATGTTTTTTTGTTCATATATGTTTTTAATCGTGTAACCATTAGAGAAACCAGGAAATAAAAATGTCACATGTATAAGTCTCCAAATAGGAACAAATCAATCCCAAAAGAACAGGAAAAAAGAACAGAGCTAAGAACTAGAAGAACATGTTCTACAAACACCCACAAGCCAAAAATATCAAAATCAATGGATCCAACACAAGGAAAAGCTTCATGATCTTCAGCTTCGATGAATCGATTCAAGAACAGAGTTCACAATGAAAATCACAGGCGAGACAGATTTGCAGAAACTGGGAAATAAGAGACGATTATAGGAGCTTGAGATGTCTGTGAATCAGATTTTGGTTTGTGTTTGGAGGGCTGTTGTTTGTGTTTCATGTTTGAACGTTCTTCACCATGGGAGACCTTTGAAGAGAGAGAAGGAAGGAAGCAACCCAGGAGAGCTGAGACTATGAGAGAAGAAGGCATCTTATTGCGTTTTGGGCTTTAAGAAATCAAAGGAGAAGGGAAGAATTTGCTTAGATTTTTTGAGATGGAAAGAAATTAAATGAAGATATGATGAATTTATAGTCCACTTCGAAGACTGCAAAGACTGGAATGGTCAAAATTTTGAGTTTGGGGAACAAGCAAAGATCTTGCCAACCTCTTTCCTTTTTCCTTTTCAACCTTTTTATTCACCTTGTTGAGTAAGGTACAATGTATCGCACCTTTGCTAGCGACAAGCAATACGTAATGGGTCAAAATGGACAATATTTACTGGCGGTTGGCGTGAGTTGTTACACATGGTATCAGAGCCAGACACTAGGTAGTGTGCTAGAGAGGTCCTGGGGCCAAGTGGGGTGAATGGTGAGATCTTACATTAGTTGAAGAGAGAAACGAAGTATTCTTTATAAGACTGCGGAGCCTAAAACCGTGAGGTTAACGACGATACGTAACATGTTAAATCGGACAATATTACAAATGGTATCAGAGTTAGATACTAAATGATATGTCAGCGAAATCGCTAAGCTCAATAGAGTGGATTGTGAGATCCCACATCGATTAGAGATGAACAAAACATTCTTTATAAGGGCGTGAAAACCTCTTTCTAATAGACGTATTTTAAAATTGTGAAGTTGATTGTGATACGTAATGGGTTAACGCGGATTTACAAACGTGTATTTACTTCCTTAGTACTAATTACGATACTTCCTATGGTACAAATTTAGTTAGCAACTTCCTTATTATCATTAAATTATTACTATTTTCTTAACGAGATAATACAAATTAAAGTAAAGTATATTAAAATGTTGACTATAAATTAGTTATTATTTTAGTCAAAATTATCCATAAGACACGTATGGCAATTAGTAATTTAATATAAAAAAAAGATTTCCAATATTTAATCATATAATAGAAGAAATTTAAATAAATGAAAAAAAAAATGCTTGAAATTTGATTTTTCTCGTGAAAGGGAAATCTACCTTAAATCACATAAACAATGACGAAAGTCTTCGATGTATTATTTTATTTTATAAATTTTACACAAAATTAAATATATTTTTTTACAGTAAATAATAAATTTTTATATTATTATAGTATAAGAAATTTAACATTAATATATTTTGCAATTTGTTCTATAAATAATTTTCTAAACACATTTTGAATTATTATTTTATTATTTTATTAATATATTTAGATTTTGACAAATTTTATTTATATGCGTGGGTTTATAAGAAATAATAGAACGTCAAATATGAATCAGTCTTTCCTCGAAGATTTATGATTTTGTAACAAAGAAGGTTGTAGCTTTTATGGTAGAATGCGTCGTAGAAAATCGTTTGAAATTTCTTTCTTCTCTTGGCCCCGAGTCAATTTTGATGGACGAAAATGACTTTTCTTTTTTTTTTTTTTTTTTTTTTTTTGTGACCCAGCATTATTTATTTATTATTTTTTTTCTATGGCTAAGGTTAGTTTGGATGAAACTTAAATGAATTATTAGAGATATTAAAAAATTTTCAGGAATTTGAGGAATATAGGATAAGGGATGACAGACTTATAAAGTAATAACAAACTATATTTTTATAATCTAATAATATTTTTATAATCTAATAATATTCACCAACAAAAAATAGTTCAAATTTTTCTAACAACCTTGTACAATCCAAAAAAAATACATGGAGTTCAGAACTAAATAGCCGCCGCCGCTCACTACATGCGAGAAGGATAGGGATTAACCGGAAAATAGGACACGACAATCGGAGCTCCGTTGCGCACCGGCGGCGCCGGTTTCTTCTCCGGTTTCAGATTCTTCGACGGAATCTCCTTGCCGGCGGAGGAGACTCGGGAGGGAGGGAAGCAGCAGCGGAACATTTGAGAGGAGAAGAAGGCCATTTCAAATGGTTCAGTAACGAACTTGGTGGCAGTTGGGATCGATCCTGTAAGTTCTTCGAGGTTTTGTGGAAATATTTATAGACGGAATTTTTGTTGGTCCAATTGCTTGCCGTACAAGGAACCACCCGTGGACCCCACACGATGTGGTCGTGACGGCTTTTTTTAACACGTCAATTTTATTTCCTCTCATTTTCATCTTCTCGTCCACTCATCCCATATAATCTTATTATTTATTTATTTAAAAAGAATGCTTTCAAAAGTTTTAATTTTTTAATTTTTTTTTTGTATTTTTAAATTCGACATTTTAATTTCTAAATTTGATTTTGGTAGTATTTTTTTTGGGTCCATTTTGTCTATTTTTCATTAATTACTAGTATAAAGCTATCGCTTACGTGATGTCATGGTCATGCTTGTCCAAGATGTGTTACCCATGACTGCATCTCAGCCCTCGTTTTCTAAAATATTCTTCTTAGACCAGAGTCAGAGACTTGGGTATACGTCATCAGGTCAAAAGCGACACGATTTCGAGTTAGCTGACTTACTCGATAGTGAAAGTAAGTGCCACATAATTACTTACAAACGTCCCGTAAGAGCTAAGCATACATTTCAAAAAACTAAAAACAACACGAAACCGAGTCTAAAGAATGATCAACTATTCGGTACTGAAACAAGAAGCAAAAGTGAAACTTCCATACATTTTGTTCTACAAAATTATGCCTTGTTTACGCGGATTGGTTGGCCTTCCAATAACTGCAGCAAAGAAAAACATATCAGACACAGAACCTTCTTCCAACTTTTTTGGATCAATATGCCATCATCTTTGAGAGTGTGGCTCATCCAACCGCGGAGTAATATCGATAACTAACCGAAGATGTATGTACGGCCCAAACACATCGCTAGCAGATATTGTCCTCTTTAGACTTTTCCTTTCAGGCTTCCCCTCAAGGCTCTAAAACACGTCTACTAAGGAAATGTTTCTACACCCTTATAAAGGGTGTTTCGTTCTCTTTTTCAACCAATGTGGGATTGTAGGATGTCACAATCCACCCCCTTTCACGGCCCAACGTCCTCGCTGGCACTCGTTCATTTCTCCAATCGATGTGAGACCCCAGCCAAATTCACCCTCCTTTAGGGGCCAGTGTCCTTACTGGCAAACCGCCTCGTGTCTAGATATTGTGACATCCTACAATCCCACATTGGTTGGGGAGGAGAATGAAACACCATTTATAAGGGGGTGGAAACCTTTCTCTAGCAGACGCGTTTTAAACCTTTAAGGGAAAGCCCGAAAGGAAAAGCCCAAAGAGGACAACATCTGCTAGCGGTGTGTCTAGGCCGTTACAATGTTTTCAACAAGTTTTTAGAAAATTTTCTCACATGTTAGTCATCAGAGATGTTATAGTAGCTGCATTTGCTTAAGGAAACAGATAATGTCTACCAAACCAATGTATATTATGTGATATGGACCAGAAAGTGAGATAGAGTGTGCATAAATTGGTATCGATACCACGGTATTCGACACGATAGAGAATCGAAGCGAGTTACTTACAGCGTTGTTAAAAGACGAAATGGCAGCTTCGACTTCCTCCTCTGAAGAGAAAGTAACAAAACCATAGCCACTCGATTTCGAGGTACCGGGAACCCGTGAAACCTTTGCGCTGAGAACTTTACCCTTTTCGGAGAAGAAGTTCTTGAGTGTTTCAGTAGAAACTGTACTTGAAATGTTTCCTACATATACTTTGTAGGGACTGTCAATGAACTGGGATTCGTCTGCCTGAAGAAGAGACATATCGACCGTATTAACCAAAGGCTTTTCGGTTATGTTGACTTTAATCGTTCGTCCTCCGACTTCCTGTTGTTAGATCAATATTGTCAGCACAAATGATCTAGCAGCAAGTGAACAGTGGTAAACAATTTTTGTTGCACTTTGTAGGTATTACTATTAACTTACTGTATCATTCAGTTTCTCAATTACTGCATTAGCGTCATCAACTGTTTTCATGGTAACAAAGGCAAATCTGCGGCTTCTTCCTGAGTATTTGTCATACATGACCTGGAAATGGAACAAATAAGAGTCTTGAAGCCAACACCAACAGTTACCAAGTAAAGATTTAAGAACAAAGGGATGCTAGAATTCTTTCAATTAATAGAAGGTAGGAATCACGGACCTCCACAATAGTATGATATTTTCCACGTTGAGCATAAGCTCTCATGGTTTGCTTTTGGTTTTCCAAAAGAACTCATACCAATAGAGATGTATTCCTTGCTTATAAATCCATGATCAACCCCTTTTATTAGCCGAAGTGAGACTCCTTCCCAACAATTCTCCCCTCGAACAAAGTACACTATAGAGCCTTCCCTGAGACCTATAGAGCCCTCGAACAGTCTCCCCCTTAATCGAGGCTCGACTCCTTTTCTGAAGCCCTTGAACAAACTACACCCTTTGTTCAACACTTAGAGTCACTTTTGACTACACCTTCGAGGCTCACAACTTCTTTGTTCGACATTTGGTTAAGGGCATGACTTTGATACTATGTTAGGAATCACGGACCTCCACAATAGTATGATATTTTCCACGTTGAGCATAAGCTCTCATGGTTTGCTTTTGGTTTTCCAAAAGAACTCATACCAATGGAGATGTATTCCTTGCTTATAAATCCATGATCAACTCCTTTTATTAGCCGAAGTGAGACTCCTTCCCAACAATTCTCCCCTCGAACAAAGTACACTATAGAGCCTTCCCTGAGACCTATAGAGCCCTCGAACAGTCTCCCCTTAATCGAGGCTCGACTCCTTTTCTGAAGCCCTTGAACAAACTACACCCTTTGTTCAACACTTCCCCTTAATCGAGGCTCGACTCCTTTTCTGAAGCCCTTGAACAAACTACACCCTTTGTTCAACACTTAGAGTCACTTTTGACTACACCTTCGAGGCTCACAACTTCTTTGTTCGACATTTGGTTAAGGGCATGACTTTGATACTATGTTAGGAATCACGGACCTCTACAATAATAAGATATTGTCCACTTTGATCCTAAGCTCTCGTGACTTTACTTTTGATTTCCCAAAAAACCTCATAAACTTATGATCAACCCCTTAATTAGTCAATGTGAGACTCCTTTCCCAACAATCCTCAACAAATTCCCAATACCCAGTTCCCGGTCCGCAACAACAATGGATAAACCTATGTGAAGGGCTCCACGGGCATGCTCTGACGATAATGGCATAAGATCTTCTACTTGGAATGAACAGTTTGAAAACCGTATATAAGTAATTAACATAAACTATCTAGTGTTATCCTGTCTATTATTGAAGTGAAACTAATCACATTCCAGCACAAAATCAGGCAACATTGAGCAGTTCTAATGAATTTAAGAACAAGTAAACTAAATCAATGCGAACGTTCCAGACAAACTAAGATATAAGCCTTCAAAATCCAGCAATCCGCGAAAATCAGGCACAACGCAGATTATCAAACAAAAATTCAGGATAACCAAAAGAAAAGAACAGTTCCAAGCAGAAATTACGCACCTCAGCCTTCTCCACAGCGCCATGTTCTTCGACAATCCGAGTGAGCTCCTCATTACCCACATTTCTAGGTATATTCCCAATGTACAATTTCCTTGCCGCCACCGAACTAGGATCCTGGACAGAAACCGCCGCTTCTGCGACAGCGAAGAGTCTGGTGCGGCGTTTTCCGGCGGAAGTTTGAAGACCGGGAGAGACACGGAGGAGGGTATAACGAGGATGAAATGAGATCGGTCGGAGAAATTGAGTGGATAAATTTTGCGGGATTTCCGTGGGTTTTATGGAGCTGTGGATGAGATTCGCCGGCGTTAATATGGATGAGATGGAAGCCATTTTTGGCGTGCAGAGCTTGTGGTGCGAGTGACAGAAGACGCTATGGAAGAACCCCGAGGCGAGGCCAGAGGTTTATCCAGTCGAGAAGAAGAGATTGATCTAAGCTCGTGCAGCACGCACGTGGCATTTCTTTTTTTTTTTAAGCATTATTATTTATAATTACACGTCATCAAAAAATTAATTGAAAAAAAAAATCATCTAATTCAATTATATAATAAATATGGGAATATATGGAGAGATAATTCAAAATTAAAAAAGGAAATTATAAAATATTAAAAACAAAGCAAAGAATAATTACAGATCTTTTCTATTATTTACCATTTTTCATCACTGTTCTTTAATTTAATCGTGAGAATCTTTTTTACTTTTAATTTTCACCATTTGTTTGATATTATTATAAATAAAAAACAAAGTAATATTAATTTATTTTATTTTATTTTATTAATACAAATACATTGTATTATTAAGACTTAGATTAAAACCGTGCATAATTGGTCGATTATGTAACTTATTTTGTAGTACTGTCAATAAATATAACATTAATGCCCTTTAAAATTATAAAATTAATGATAGGGTTGAAATAAATATATTTCAGTTTTTTAGTATTTAATAATTAACTTAAATTAATCAAAATACCCTAAAAAAAAAAATTAAAGTATCTTACTGTCACGAACGAAATTTTGTATATTGATATTTTATAGATTATCTCTAAATATTAAAAAATATTAACGAAGGTTCTAAAAATTTAAATATATTTTTTTAAAAAGATTGAAATATTTATTTATTAATTTAGCACATTAATAATTATTAGAAGTAGATGAAAATATTTAAATATTTTTTAAATTAAATAGGAAGTTATGAGATGATGAATAAAAGAAGAGAGAGAATTAGAGAAATGATTTGTTTCCCGAATTGTCCTCTCTGTCACTCCCCCTTCCTCTCTCTCTCTCCTCCATTCTCCGTCAGTTACCATTTTCATCTCTCTGCTATACATTTTACGGCCATTCCTCTGTTTCTTCAATTAAAATGCTCTGTTTTCCCTCCTTCCATGGAGCTTGAAGTTCTCCTCGTTTTGCAGGCCATTGGGATATTCAAGTAACTTTCTGAAGCTTTTTCATCAATGGGGAAGAAGAATCAACCAACCCCACATAAACCACACGAAGATTTCAAGCTTAAAGAAACCTCCCCCAACATCAATGGCGGAAAATCCTCGGTTCGTATCAGTACTACGTTCGATCTCGTCGAACAGATGCTGTTTCTTTATGTCAAAGTCGAAAGAGCAAGAGATTTAACGCCGCCCTGTGACCCTTTTGTCGAAATCAAGCTTGGAAACTACAGAGGATCCACGAAAACCTTAGAGAAATCAGCAAACCCAGAATGGGGTTCTGTTTTTGCCTTTGCTAAAGATCGAATTCAGACCACCGATGTCGAAATCTCTCTGTTTAACAAATCCGCCGCCGACGCCGAGGTCGGCAGCATTGTTTTGAGTATCTCCGACGTTCCTATGCGGGTACCGCCGGACAGTCAATTGGCGTCACAGTGGTATAAACTTGAGAAGCGGAACGGCGGTGACAGCCGAGTCAGGGGAGAGTTAATGCTCTCTGTTTGGATGGGGACTCAAGCCGACAGCCATTACTCAATTGCGTGGCACTCCGACGCGGCCGCCGCGACCGGTGACGGTGTCGTCAACACTCAATCAAAAGTTTATCAGTCGCCGAGGCTTTGGTACTTGAGATTGAACATAATCGAAGCTCAAGATTTAGTCATTAAAGACAAGAACAGAAAACCAGAGGTTTTGATCGAAGCAAAACTTGGGATAATTCAGATGATAAGCAGAGTATCAGAGAGTAAAAACTTGAATCCGACATGGAATCATGACATGTTGCTGGTAGCTGCAGAGCCATTTGAGAAGAATTTAGAGCTACGTGTTGTTGATAAGATTAATCCAAATGAAATTCATGTTCTTGGTGTTTGTCAAATTCCTCTCGACAAAATTGAGGTAAGAAACAACAGCTCGCCGGTGGAGAACAAATGGTACAATCTCAAGAGGCCCGACAGCGACAAGGCAGAGGTGGCTGAAACAGAGGAGGTAAAGTTTGCAAGCAAATTACACTTAAGGGTGTCTTTAGATGGAGGCTACCATGTTCTTCATGAGCCGATTCACTACGCGAGTGATCTCCGAGCAACGTCAAAGTCGTTATGGCCATTGCGCATCGGTGTCTTAGAGCTTGGTATCTTAAGTGCTTCAGGGTTGTTGCCGATGAAGCCAAAAGAGAATCGAACCGATGCGTTTTGTGTTGCAAAATACGGACCGAAATGGGTGAGGACTAGGACAGTTACTAATACCTCAGCTCCAAAATGGAATGAGCAGTACATTTTTGAGGTTTATGATCCATGTACTGTTCTAACCATTGGAGTGTTTGATAATGGCTATCTCCAAGGAGAGGATAAAGGGAAGGATAGTCGAATCGGGAAGGTTCGGATTCGATTATCGACGCTCGAAACCGATCGGATCTATACACATTCTTACCCTCTTGTGGCATTGCAGGCCAGTGGTGTGAAGAAGATGGGTGAAATTCAACTGGCAGTGAGGTTCTCTTGCTTGTCTTTGATCAACATGGTGCAGATTTATGCACAAGCTTTGCTACCTGAAATGCATTACACTCTCCCTTTATCCATTTACCAAATGGATCACTTGAGAGACCAATGCTTAAACATTCTTTCAGACCGACTAACCCGAGCCGAGCCGAAGCTAAGGAGGGAGGTCATCTACTACATGCTTGATGCAGATTCACACATATGGAGCATAAGGAAATCCAAAGCTAACTTCAACCGAATCGCAGCGCTTTTCGATTGGTTGATTTTGTTCTGCAAATGGTTCGGTTGCGTTCGAAGCTGGAGGAATCCTACCATGACAATAGCAGTTCATATAATGTTTACACTCGTTGTGTTCTTCCCTGAACTAATCTTTCCCACGGTGTTTTTCTACTGTTTCGTGCTTGGCATGTGGCGCTACCGTGTTAGGCCAAGGCATCCGCCGCACATGGACACCGAGCTCTCGTATGCTTATGCAGTGACAGCCGATGACTTAGAGGAGGAATTTGATACGTTCCCGAGCTCGGCGAATGGAGGAGTGCTGAAAAGACGATATGATAAGCTTCGGCATGTCGGGGGGAGAATGCAGGTGCTGATGGGGGACATAGCAACGCAAGGGGAGAGGGTGGAAGGGCTGCTAAGCTGGAGGGATCCAAGGGCCACTACGCTGTTTATGATGGTGTGCCTTGTTGGAGCTGTGGGGATGTATGTGGTTCCTTTCAAGCTTCTTGTGCTATCATTGGGGTTTTATGTTATGAGACACCCAAGATTTAGGATTGCTTTGCCTTGTTTTCCTCAGAATTTTCTTAGGAGAATGCCTGCTAGAACTGACTCTTTGCTTTGAGAATGCTCTTGGTTTACAACCATCTGCTGTCTTTTGCCATTTAACTTAATAAAAAGAGTACCTTTTTTTTTGTGTTGTTCGTAATGTTCTTCTTGTTTTGCTTTGTGTTTGTTTATAAACTTATCGAGAAATTTGAGGAGAAATTGGGTTGGGTTATTTAACCCTTTAGACCCCTTTTAGAAGTGCGTTTGAACGATGTCTCTTAGTGTCACTTCGTTTATTTAGAATGGTTCAAGAAATCTATAGTGAGATTCTACGTTGATTTTAGAGGTGAACGAAATATTTTTTATAAAGATGTGGAAACCTCTTTCTACCGTACACGTTTTAAAATCTTGAGTGAAAACTCTTAAAAGGGAAAACTTAAAAATGATGATATTTAATAGTAGTGAGTTTTAGTTGTTACAAATGATATCAGAGCCAAACATAAGGAAGTATGTCTGTGAGAACACTGGGATAAGAAAGGGTGGACTATGAGATCACGTGTTGTGATTGAAGAGGGGAACAAACATTTCTTACAATGGCGTGAAAACCTCTATTTAGCATACACATTTTAAAACCTGAGTGGAGACCCTTAAAGGAAAACATAAAAAGGAGAATATCTACTAGTAGTGGATTTGAGTGGTTATAAATGATATCAAAGCCAAATATAAGGTGGTATGTATGTGAGAACGCTGGCCCTACAAGGAGGGTGGATTGTGAGATCACACGTTGATTGAAGAGGGGAACAAACATTCATTACAATGGTGTGAAAACCCCTATTTAGCGGACAAATTTTAAAACTTTGAGGAGAAGTCCTTGAAAAAAAAAAAAGCTATAGAGGACAATATCTACTAGCGATAGACATAGACTGTTAGAAATGTTATCAAGGTCGACATGACATTGGGCTAGCGAGAACATTGAGTCTCGAAGAGAGATGGACTATGAGATTCCACGTTGATCGAATAGGGGAAGGAAACATTCGAATGTTAAAACCTTAGCACTTAAAAACCTTGAGGGAGCCCTCCAAGGAAAAACCTACTTGCCACGTGGCAAGACGCTATTACCCAAGCAATCTCTTTAACCTAACGGACAGAAAAATGTATGTTTTTTTTTCCTAAAATTCAAAAGTATATATGATTTTTCAAAATAAATAAATAAAAATACTTTCTTAAAATAAATAAATAAATAAAAGAATGCTGTCATTTGGACCCGAGCCCAAACTATCCGGACCTTTCAATTAGGGTTTTTCTGCAAAAAAAAAAAAAAAAAAAAAAAAAAAAAAAAAAAAAAAAAAAAAAAAAAAAAAAAAAAACCGTTATATATAATTATCATTATTTGTGAATTAGGGTTTCTCTGGCACTCGGCTTCTTTCTGGTTGCGAAGAAGAGCACCGCAGAGATACTGAAATGGCGCCCAAAACCCCTAGAGTTACTCGTAACCCGGATCTAATCCGAGGTGTCGGCAAGTACTCCAGGTCTAAGATGTATCACAAGCGAGGTCTTTGGGCCATCAAGGCCAAAAATGGCGGAGTGTTCCCTCGTCACGATGCGAAGCCGAAAGCTGATGCCCCAGCTGAGAAGTCGCCGAAGTTTTACCCTGCCGACGATGTGAAGAAGCCCCTTGTCAACAAGCGCAAGGCCAGGCTCACGAAACTGAGGTATGTATTGATTATTTTCCGGTAGAGAACTATATCGCCGTGCAGTGTGGTGGGATTCTGTTCTTTGATCCTAAATATATTGTTTAGGGAACGCCTTTTTAATTCTGGATTTATTCCTGTTTTAGAGCCAGCATTACTCCTGGTACTGTGTTGATAATCCTTGCTGGGAGGTTCAAAGGGAAGAGAGTTGTGTTTTTGAAACAGCTGCCATCTGGGTTGCTTCTGGTCACTGGTGAGTTCCCTAATTCTTTTCCCCGACTTGCCTAGACCATACAAAAATAGATTAGTGGTGGAATTCTGATGGTTCTTTGCCTTTACATTGTGTTATTTGATTTTGATTAGGAGATTATGTTGTAATTTGCTGCCATCTTTTGGTTTCATTTCTTTCATTCACCATGTAATTTTAGCGGACTTTCAGCCATGGTATGTGGTTATCTATCCAAGCAAAAATGTTTGACGAAGTATTAATTATTTCTTAGCTGCCAATTTGAATCATTTCCAAGTCTACGAGTGTATCTGCTTAGGAATTTCTTGCTGTTCTTTTTCTGATGATTTGGAAGTTGAATCTTTTGATGCTGAAGATTGGATTTAACGTTCCATTTTAACAGTTTATGTATAGAACACCGACTCAATTCATTTTTTGTGTTCTTATGAAAAATGGGTGTGCTTGTTCATCAGTTCTTCAACATATTCTTTATGACTATAGGCCCTTTCAAGATTAATGGTGTTCCTCTAAGACGGGTGAACCAATCGTATGCCATTGCAACCTCCACCAAAGTTGACATCTCTGGAGTTAACGCAGAAAAGTTCGATGACAAGTATTTCTCCAAGGAAGTCCAGAAGAAGAAGAAGAAGGGTGAAGGCGAGTTTTTCGAGGCCGAGAAAGAGGTAGGCAGACCCGAGTCATACTACACCACATGCCCTTATCATGGTAATTGTTTTAGCCGGCCTAAGTTTTTTGGTTCCATCTTCTTATTGTAGGAGAAAAGTGCTCTCCCAGCTGACAGGAAGGATGACCAGAAAGCTGTGGATACACCATTGATCAAGTCGATCGAGGGGGTACCGGAGTTGAAGGCTTACTTGGCTGCAAGGTTTTCCCTCAAGGCTGGAATGAAACCTCATGAGCTTGTCTTTTAGATAATGGGTCTGGTTTTTATTTTTTTAGATCATCACCTTGTTTTTTGTTCGTCTGAACATGGCTATGACTTATGATAGTTGCCTTGTCCCAAATTTTGATTCTAAATAGAGATTCCATGTTTCGTTAGCTCTGTTTTATTAATGAATACTGTGTTCAGTTTCTTCGTTGGGTCTGTTACACTCCGTTACAGAATTTCAGGCTTCAGCCAATCTCATTGATTTAGAGCCACCCGAACTCTGATGCAAAGCCATGCACGATGTGTTTACACTATGAGAAAATATTAAACATGTTTGATATGTGTGGATAGACCAAAAAGTATAAAATACGAAACTTTGTATTCTTGAACTGATGGTTTGTCTAATTGTCGTCTCATTTCAACTCAATTTTTTTTTTTATTCAATTATAAATTGTCTACAGCTTAGAAAAATGTTAAAATTTAAGCTTGGATGAAGTTGGGGTTAAGTTAAATTTGAGTCGTTTGTGGCTAACATTTCATTTTTAGTTTCTCTTTGAGATCTCACCATAGGAATGAAGCATGAAAATCTTTTCCTAATAGATATGTTTTATAATCGTGAGACTGACCATATGTAACATGACAGCTGTACTTGGACTGACTATGAGGCACGGATAATATCTACTAGGGTTGAACTTGGATGGTTACAGAAATATGTTAGCGGTGAATTTGGAGACTTTGATTGACATGAGGTTGACGACCATAGGTAAGAAGACTAACAACTACATGTAATGGGCTAAAGTGGGTAACATATGCTAGCGGTAAACTTTGGAATGTATAATATCTACTAGTGGTGAACTTAGGAACTTGGTCTATTACAAAAATCAAACGAATATGAATCAAAAGAATTCCTTAAGACTAATTCGATAAAAATTAAAAAAGAAAGACACACACAAGGAAAAATCCCAAAAAGAAAAGAAAAATAAAATAAAATACAGAAAAATAGGATTTGGGGTCATTGGGCACTCTGGAACACAAAAATTAGTAGAGGCCTAAAATTTTTAAAATATAGAAAAAAAGAAAAAAAGAAAATTGATCGATTCTCCGTCTCCTTTCAAATGTCCCTTCTTCAGCTCTGCTAGAACCTTCCGACTTTGCTTGCCCTAGGGTTTTTACAGGGTTTTTTCATATCGTCAATTGGGCAACCTCCGATTCCTCCTTTCAGGTCACTCTCCGACCTTTCACACAGAGCTGCACATAGCTATACCTCCAAATGGTTCGCTCCGATGGCCTCAGGTTCATTCGTTTGTTGGCTCGTCGTTCTTTCACACACCACCACCTCTCCCGCGAAACCTCGAGCTCCGTATGTCCATTTTATGTGATTTTTTTTTGTCTTGTAATCATGTTATTGGTCTCATGGATTCTATCGACTTATTTGAGGATTGGTTATTTGTAGGTAAACGACGCAGTTTCTCGAGGGAGTTGTCGACGATTTCATTCTGATGTTTGCTACACATCTGTTGGTTTTGGAAATTGTGCCTCGAGGAATGGTATGTATTTTTATCTTCTTTTACTCATGGTCTTTGTTCTTTTCTGTTGGGTCAAGTTTAAGGAAAAAGAGATTGCAATATATGGGTCTTACTTGAAAACTTGTAATCTCTAATTGTGAGATAGTTGTATGCATGTTCTCTCTGGAATTGGATTAAAATCATGCTTGAATTTTGGTCGATCAAGTTTTTTTTTTCTTTTTTTTAAATCTTCTTTTTTGTGTGTGTCTTGCGGTGCAGTTAATAAAAAGAACTGGTTTCAGTTGGGAGTTCTTGGTGCCAACCCTGGAGAAGCAAAATTAATTCATGGCACTGGTATGAAATTATACACCATCCAGAATGCATTTATTTGCTTCCTATCCTGTTCCCTTGAATTGCTTTCCCCTGTTGCATCCATAGCTGAGGGGTGTTTGCAGATATAATTGCTGCATCAACATATTACTCATATTATTTTTTTCATCAATTTTACCATGCATACGTTCCATAAATACTTTTAAGTATTTATCATTTTTGTATTTTTTGAACCAGCACAAATGTTTGCTAAAAATTATTATGATACACTTGGTGTGAACAAGAACGCAACTGCATCAGAGATAAAGAAAGCATACTATGGGGTAAGTTTCTGCAATAATTGTTTTTCTAGAGGAAGTTAGAAGCAGTGTTTAGCTTGATCGCATGACACTCTGCAAACAGTGTTTTTGATTATATAACTTTTTTTTTTAATTAGAGAATTGGATTTTTTTCGAGTGATGTTGTGTTAACCGAGCAGTTTAATTATAGTGAAGAATTGAACATTCTTTTTTGGCAGCTAGCAAAAAAGCTTCATCCTGATACAAACAAGGATGACCCCGATGCTGAAAAGAAGTTTCAAGAAGTTAGTAAGGCTTATGAGGTAATTCCCATACATCTATGGTTTTTCGCAGAAATGTGCATATAAATGCAGTTCAAGTTTTTAAAGTTTATATTATTCTGGTGTCAGGTTTTAAAAGATGAGGATAAACGCCAACAATATGATGCGGTATTGTTTCAAATTCCACGTAAATGTCTAGGCGATTTGATGCTCTAAAATTTATTAGTTTAGCCGTGCAATGGAAGCTGCATTCCCATTAAAACTTGTGGAGAATGGAGATAGAAGTCTTCATTTGTTCCACGCTTCTACTCATAAATAATTTGTCCATTCATATTCTGTTACAGAAAGCAAACCAATAGGTCTTTCTACACATTTGTGTAAAATTTCTTCCTGTTTATTAAGACTTTTAAACCACGTTGGAGTTGGCTACTTATATTATGATAACTTGTTTAAAAAAGAAGGCTTTCAAGATTTAATAACCTATTTTATTTCCGTTTCAATGTCATAGGTTGGGCATGAAGCATTTATCCAACAAGATCATCACGGTGGCTTCCCTGGTGGTGGTGAAGGCTTTGACCCGTTTAGTGGAGTATTTCGGGGATTTGATGTAAGCCAATCTTTTATCGAGCTTCTTTTGTCAGGATTTTTTTATTTTTCTTGGAAGCTTACATATACTTTTTCATGTTTGCATGTGGTGGTCAGTTCTCTAACATATTTCGCCAGAACTTTGGTGGAGAAGATATCAAGGTGCTAACCCATCTGGTTATATGCATTGGGCTTCATTCTTAGGCAGCACACATGTTATTGTTGGTTTGTGTTTTGGCAGGTTGCTTTGGAGATATCCTTTATGGAAGCTATCCAAGGATGCTCAAAAACTGTAGCATTTAATGCAGCCGTGCCATGTGATACTTGTGGTAGGGCAGATCTATTCAATTCTTGCGTAGTTGTCTGCCTCTAAGTTTTTTTTTTTAATAAGATATATGACTTGAGTTTGCAGGTGGAAGTGGTGTTCCACCTGGAACAAGACCCGAGACATGTAGACGCTGTAAGGGATCAGGCATGGTTAGTTTTGTCTGTTATACTACTTCCACATGTCATTTTCCCTATGAATGTGATTTTGTGAGATCTAAGCCGTTTCATTTGCCATGCTCAAACACTAGACATACATGCAAACTGGTCCATTTAGAATGCAAGCTACATGTTCGCAATGTGGTGGAAGTGGGAAAATTGTAACGGTATGTCCCCACCTTTTGTTTAGCCTTTATATATATATATATATTAAAAAGTTAATCTATCCATCATGAAAATATGTTTTCTCCTCAAAAAAAAATAAAAATAAAAATTCTTTCAGAACTTCTGCAAGTCTTGTAATGGAGAACGTGTTGTGAGAAGATTGAAAAATGTTAAGGTGGACATAATGCCAGGTAAGTCTTTCTGGTTTCCTTACAACGTTTAATTTTTTATATGTTACCTGGAAAGGGAAAAGTAAATCTCGCACTTGTTGAATTGGTGGTCTCGATGGCTCGTACAGGGGTAGATGATAATGAAACTATGAAGGTGTTTAGGAGTGGAGGTGCAGATCCTGATGGAAATCAACCTGGTGATCTGTATATTACTATTAAGGTGACTTTGATTTTTCATTCATTTGTTCCCTCTTTCAATTTTTATATTGTTTGGTCAATTTCCTTGGCTGATGTGATGACCCATCTGTTTATTGCAAAAAAAAAAGGTTCGTGAAGACCCAGTTTTCAAAAGAGAAGGCTCTGACATTCATGTGGATGCTGTTCTAAGCATCACCCAGGTAGTAATTTCTATTTAATTAATTTAGGAGGTTATTCTGCCTGTGGTTATCTTTTTATCTCAACAATCTATAGGAACTTGGTAGCTGCCGTACTGATCGCCTTGATTTTTCTTCCATCTATGGCCTAAACTACTTTGTAATTGTCTTAAACAAGATTGTGGAATCAATAGAAAAAATACTGATTTTATAAACTATTAAAAGAGAGGGTTAACAGAATTTAGAAACTATTTTTAATTTCTTTTGATGAAAACTTGGGTTTTCATTTAAAATAATCTTGAAACCATAGGCCGAAAGTCCAAGGATGGTATTTCTGCATAAAATATCATATGATACATTCGAGGATAAAGCTTGTAGATCTCATTCCATATTATTGTGACATTTTTAATTATATACGGTTCAAGACTTATGCTATCTTGGCAGTATCAAAATTTAAATTCACTTGTACTTGATTTTTTTTTTTCTCGGTGCAGGCTATATTGGGAGGCACTGTCCATGTTCCGACTCTAACGGGGGATGTAGTCCTCAAGGTTTGGCCATATGTTAATATTGATAACCATGCGTAATCATTATTGATTTTATGCCAGATTGACTATATTGACTTCTAATTATTAGGTCCGTCCTGGCACTCAACCTGGACAAAAGGTTGTCCTGAAGAAGAAAGGTAATATAACCAATTTGTGCTCACCAATATCATTTCTTTAGGCTTCTCGGTGTCATTGGAATGTTACTTGTTCTGTTCTGTTCTGTTCTGTTTTGTTTTTGTATCTCAAACTAAATAATGAGAAGCAGAGAAGATCATATTAAAGATAAAACGAAAGGAACACCCTAAAGTCCTCATCTAAAGCCGAAGGAGAGGAGAGAATAAGAAAGATTTCCAATCTAGGTTGGTAAGAAGGGAGAGGAGGGAGTGTTACAAAAAGGAGTTCGAAGGGCACTCCAAATTGAGATTGTGCTGGACATGATATAAAACAAAAACAAAACATCAATGGAAGGAAGGTGAGATCCCGCGTCGGTTGGAGAGGGGAATGAAACATTCTTTATTAGGGTGTGGAAACCTCTCTATAGCAAACCTGTTTTAAAAATTTTGAGGGGAAGCCCGAAAAGGAAAGTTCAAAGAGGACAATATCTACTAGCAGTAGGCTTAGGCTGTTACAGAGAACTTATTGGGAGAACATTCTAGAGTCTCTTTTGATGAGAGCTCTGTAGGCGGATCCATGGTATCTTAAATCTCTTTGAGCCACCATACGTGGATCAATTCAGTTTATCCATCTTCCAAATATGTGGGAGGGCCCCATAAAGAATCAAAATCATTGAAGTCTTCTTGGAAAAGGAAATTATAGAGAAAGTATGTTGACTCCTTTGACGAGGGTTAAGCTGTGAAGAGGAGCATTTTTATTCTGATTGTGGCATAATTATTTTTTCGTAATTCCTGTGCTCTTGATGTTGTCTTGCAGGAATAAAAACGAGGAACTCTTACACGTTTGGCGATCAATACGTGCACTTCAACGTCAGCATACCAACGTGAGCTTACCCGACCCTTCATCTTTGTCAAATTGCCTTAATCTAGCATACAATCTGGATTTTTGATTGAACACATTGCAACATAGCAACATAAGCGTTCATAGGGCCGCACTTGTTTGATTTCTTCTTAGGCAGATGATATTTTGACTTGAATGACAATGTGTTTTCATCCTCAGGAGCCTTACGCCAAGGCAGCGTGAATTAATCGAGGAATTCTCGAAGGAAGAGCATGGAGAAGACGAGAAACGCAGCGCTGCTGGAGCATCTGGGTAGAGAAACATACAACATTCTAATAAGAACTATTCTTTAAACCCTCCAAACATTCCCATTGTGTTGTAGCAAATTCCTCAGTTTTAGAAAGGAAGAAAATTGGTATGGTTCTACAGTCCAAATATAGGAGACCCACCCGCCCAATATGAAAGTTTTGTAGAAGTATTCTTGGTTGGTATTCCGGCGAGAGTCGAACGCCATAGTCAGTCAGTAGAAATAACGTAGTTTCGTTGTATAGACTTGTGTTATTTGTTCGCCTTATTTATCATAATGGGCATGAAATCAACGTTTACACGATCTTTTCTTTTGCTTGATTCGAACTTATGATTCATTCGTAATCACTTCTAGCGCTTGAAAGTATTTAAAAATTTGAATTTAGAATGAATTTGGAATGAGTTGCATTTAAAATTATGGAAATTTTCACTAAATCTCATCAAATCCTTATTAAAATGTTATCCTAAAAAAGAAGGAACTTCAACTTAAACGCGGTCGTTTGATTAACATTTCCCGCCATATTCGTAAAAACGGCCGGGGATATTACACGTGGCGGAATACTATTGCATATTCAGCACTGCTGCGGATTTCAATCCTTAAATAGACCAATCAATCAAATCTGACCGTTCAAAACTTTTACTATCCAACGGCTATACTTCGCGCTCAAAAACTGAAAATTTAAAACCTTCCCGCCTTTCCTTTAACAGGACCCTTATATATCCACCCCCGAGTCCCGAATCTTGAGAACAAGAAACTCAAATTTCAATACCAAAATTTTCAAATTCTGTGAAAACCAATTTCCCCGAATGGCTCGCACCAAGCAAACCGCCAGGAAATCCACCGGAGGCAAGGCCCCAAGGAAGCAACTAGCCACCAAAGCCGCCCGGAAGTCCGCTCCAGCCACCGGTGGAGTGAAGAAGCCCCACCGTTTCCGCCCTGGAACCGTCGCGCTTCGTGAGATTCGTAAGTACCAAAAGAGCACAGAGCTTTTGATCCGCAAACTTCCATTTCAACGATTGGTTCGTGAGATCGCACAAGATTTCAAGACCGATCTGAGATTCCAAAGCAGCGCGGTGTCGGCTCTGCAGGAGGCGGCAGAGGCCTATTTGGTCGGTCTGTTCGAAGACACGAATCTGTGTGCGATTCATGCGAAGAGAGTCACAATCATGCCAAAGGACATTCAATTGGCCAGGAGGATTAGAGGCGAGAGGGCTTGAAGTTGTCGATTAACTTACTCTGGTGATTCTTTTCTGATGTTCTTGAGGTTGATTTTGTGGCTAGGGTTCATAGAATGTATATGGAAATCTTGAATCTGTTTTGTGACTGAATTACCATTATCTCTTCAAATCTGATTCTGATAACGTTTATTATGATTAATCCGTCTCTTTGATGCTCATAACAAATCGTGCCTTTCACATTCATACCAATTTATTACTTAATTTGCTACTATGATTGGTATAATAATTGTTTGAATATATCATTGTTTATAGTTTTATTATTTTATTACTACCTTATTTTCCTTATGTTTTCATTATTTAAGCTTATTTAGTTTGTAATAATAATAAATTCATGAGGTATGGCTCAACTTCGTGCGTGTATGTCGCGTTAATATATGAATATTACAATAAATAGATATAAAATAATGGATTAAATAAGGCAAGAGATCTGACCATTTATTTGTTTTTTAAATTTTAAAAATTTATGATTTAAATTGATTTTAAAGTATTTATTTATCTGCATAAATCGTAAAAATTATATTGGTTTTTTAAATTTTCTTTTTCGTAGCTCTTAAGCATAAATCCATCCCTTTTCTGACATAAATCAATATTCAACATTTTAGATAAATTTATAGTTTTTTATTACTTAAATTAGATTCTAATTTACCTAATTTAAAAAATCTGTTGTTCCCATTCCTCATTTTAATTATTTTTCTCATTTTTTTTTTATTAAATTGGACGATAAATTTGTATGAATTTTATAACAATAGTTTAAACTAAAATTTTTATCTGTTTTTTTAATGAAAATTAATATATTGTGTTTTCAAAATACTTTTAAATCTTCGAAAATATTTCAAAAATACCATAAAAAATTTAAAATTTTTTATTAATACATTTTTAGCTTTTTTGAAAATTACTCGGGCTAGGTTTAAAAAATATCTATAAAATTTAAAATTTAAAATTTATTATTATTATTATTATTATCTACTTTTCCATAAATAAAAACTAATCCTAAGAGTATCTTTTTTTAGTTTAAAGGTATTTTATTATTATTATTAGTTTATAATTATTTGTAGGATAAAATCAAATTATAAATGGAACTCTTATAAATCATAATCATGAAATATTATTAAATAAAGAAAAAAAGAAAGAAAATTAGTTAAGATAAATGATGCAAATCTTAAAATAAAATGAATTAAAATAGCCGTTGGTTGCCGGGTCAAATCCTGGTGCTTTTATTTTTCTTTTGGAAGTTCCTTACCTAACGTGGCTGTGTATGCTAAGCGGCGCACGTCATGGAAATTATATAAATAACACATTCAAGTTGTCATAAATAATATATTAAAATAATAAATATTTCATTTCAACTTTTAATATTCGTTTATTTCATTTTTATTGTAAAATGAATTTGATTTGTTTTATACTACATTTTTTGAAATATAAATATGTATTATTGCAACATTTTATTAAAGTCTATATTGGTCCCTTAATAATTCCTAAAAGCAATGATAAACAACCAAATAAAATATTTATTTTTCCCAGATTACTAAATATTAATTAATTAATTATCATCCACTTCATCTTTAACTTTTTTATCATTTTAACTTTATTAAAATTATTAAAATAAGATAACCCTATTTCTAAATATTATCATTTTTACTGCCCCTATCTATGTAAATCATCCATCAAAAGAAGAGTCGAGCATTCTACCTATGACACATGATAGTACTCCCTATTCATCCGTCATTCTAGGCTAGAATAGTACAAGGTTGGCTCTCCACTAGGTACAGCTGAAACTCCCTCAATAGTACCCTCTAATTAGGTGACACCACATTCCCATGTTCTAAGTAGACCCTCACTAGTTAAGGTGAATTCACGATCAGGGTTATGTAGACCCGATCAATCCATGTCATCCTAACGAACTCTAATTAAATGATTAAGGAAAGTTGAAATATAAGCTTAGGCCCGTTAACAAATCATGCATATCCTCCACAACACATAGCATCTAGTCCATTAAGTCAATCTGAGCATACGTAGACATTTCAACCTTCTGACATACTTCTAGGGGTATAAATCACATTAAATCATAAAACATAGATATTCGCACAACATACATGTATGTTAAACCAGAAACGGTCAAACCGAGTATGTTATAGTCTTAACAAACGAGGTGGCCACATTCATGTTCATACATGGATGGAGAGATCCAAGTCTTGGAATTCTATAAATAAAGAAGAAATGACACAAACAAATTGATTGACTCACCATTCAATCATTCATTTCTCTCTCTCTAAGTCTCAACAAGAAAGAGAGAAATGACTGAAGCCAACACCTACATCCTCTACATCATCCTCTGTTTCCTTGCAACTCTCCTCCTCCAATACTTCTTCCATAGATCAAAAACCACCAAGTCCTCCTCCTCCTCCCACCTCCGTCTCCCGCCGAGCCCGCCGTCGATCCCTCTCCTCGGCCACCTCCACCTCCTCTCCCCCTCTCTCCACAAGTCCTTCTCCGCCCTCGCCTCCAAATTCGGCCCTCTTCTTTGCCTCCAACTCGGCGCTGTCCGCTGCATCGTTGTCTCCTCCACCTCCCTCGCCACCGAGGTCTTTAAGACTCAAGATCTCGCCTTTTCCTCTCGACCCAAGTTTGCCTTCAGCGATGAGACCCCGTATGGCAGTTCCGGCTTCTTTGCTGCCCCTTATGGCGACTATTGGCGCTTCATGAAGAAACTCACCATGACTGAGCTTCTCGCTCCTAAGCAAGTCGAACGTTCACGAGCTGTTCGTTACGAGGAGTTATTGCAATTCTTGCGCAAAATGATAGCTTCGGCCGAGAACAACCAGCTCGTTGATGTTGGTGCTGAGCTCATGAAGCTCACCAACAATAGCATTTGCAGGTTTGTTATAAACAAGGATTATTAAAGAAGTGATTATCAATAATATGATACATAATCAACCACTAATCAGATTATTCGAGCAGGATGATGATGAACATAAGATGTGCGGACGACGGTGACGAATCGGAGAAGATCCGACAACTAGTAAAAGACACAATGGAAGTCGGAGCAAAAGTAGCATTCGGCGACGTGATCGGATGGCCGCTAAAAAGGGTAGCATTTTGGATATATGGAAAACAAGCCATCGACGTAACGATGAGGTACACGACACGATTTATATAAATTCATTTAGATAGTTACGTACGTAATACTTGACTAATCTCACGAAACAACTACAGATATGATGCAATATTGGAGAAAGCATTAAAGCAACACGAAGAACGAGGAAAAATCGAGGGTTTCGACCGAGAAGATCGAGACTTAATGGATATAATCTTGAAAGTTCATCAAGATAGTGAAGCTGAGTTTAAGATTACAAGAACAAACGTCAAGGCTTTCTTGTTGGTAAGTTTGTTCTTATTATTAAACATGTTTGTATCATCTTTTTTGTGTCTTTATTGACATATGAACTGCTCCTCTTCAATTTGTCTTGTCATTTTGTAATCAAAGGGGTTTGGATCTGGGTCTTCTTTAAAGTTTGAAACTTTGACAAAATTAAGGATGTTTTAATTTTTAATTTTTTAATTTTTTTTTTAAGAAACCCTTTTGGATTTTTAAGAAACCCATAATTTTAGTTTTTAATTTAGGAACCAAATTAATTAAATTATGATTTTTTGTAGGATCTTTTCGTGGGTGGCACCGGAACGTCGACGGAGGTGATGCAATGGATAATTGCGGAGCTAATCAACCACCCAAAGGAGATGAAGAAACTTAGAGAAGAGATATTCTCGATCGTTGGAGACTCGAGATTGGTCCAAGAAACGGACGTTGCGTACATGCCCTACTTGCAGGTAAGATTTTAAATGTTAGAAACTATGATTCTCTAGTATAATATTTTCACTCTATAATAATAATAGTTTTTATCTGATTTTAAATATTGCTTTATCGGTTAGTAATTTGAATTTATTAATTTTGCAGGCGGTGGTGAAGGAGGGGCTAAGAATGTACCCGGCGGTGCCGGTGGCGATGAGGAGCTGTCCACAGAGCTGCAAAATCAGCGGCTTCGACATACCGGAAAACACCATGGTGGGGGTCAACCTGTTCGCCATCATGAGAGATCCAAATGTCTGGGAAGATCCGAACGAGTTCCGGCCGGAGAGATTCTTTTCTCCGGCCAAGGAGAACGAGGGAATGAAACAGATCCAGTACGAAATCAAGGGCCAGAATTTCAGCTTCGTTCCGTTCGGCGGCGGGCGGCGGGGCTGTCCTGGCTCCACCTTGGCCTTCACCACCAGCACCCTCGTCATCGCCACCATGGTGCAGTGCTTTGACTGGAAAGTGGACGGCAAAGACGACAAGAAAGCCAATATGGAAATCGGGTCGGGTCTCGGGTTACCCATGGCCCACCCACTCAACTGCATTCCTGTTGTCAAGTTCAACCCTTTTGGTTCTAATTAAAAAAAATAATAATAAATTTCAAATATTTTACGAGAGAGAAGGAAATAATATGTATTTTATTGTTTACTTCTACTTAATTACCACTTTGTTTTTTTTTTTTTCAAATAAAAAACTGTCCTTTTTCTATTAAAATATCAATTATAAATAATATTTCATTTTCCTTTTTTAACCGAGGGGAGATTTCACAATTTACCCTTTTCAGAAACTAATGTCTTTCCCGACACTTGAAAATATCTAAACATAGAATTACGGGTCATAATGAAACAAAATAACCTTAATTTAATCAAATAATTATAACACAGATTAGTATATAAAATAGTAGGTTAAACTCATACGTCACACGTAATAATAATTAATTAACACGAATAGGTTAAATCTGTGTCACGTGGGAAGTTTGACGGTTGACTTTAGGAATTTTGAATAAATCATATAATAAGCAAATAAATTAATAAAACGTGGGTGTGTGGGCATTGACTGAGAGTGTCTTTCAATGATTCCAAACATTTTTTATTACAACAAACAAATCACATAAATCTTCATAAATTATATATTTATATATTTCCTTATTTTTAACAAATAAAATATTACATCATTATCTGTACCAAAGTTGAACATGAGAATATAAAATTAAATTAATTTTCATAAGCTCTAAAGACTAATTCCAAAAATTATAATTATTTTTCCAACTTTATTTTTTTATTTAGTTTGGCATCGACCAAACATGTTGAGACCAACTCAACAAGCCTTCACATATTTTAATCATTTATTTTTATTTTTAATTTATAGTTTTATAATATTTCTATAATCAAATTAAGTTATTAAATTTGATAGTTTGAAGAGTCCAAAGTAATTTATCAAATTTTATGTTGTTTAATTTTAATAATATTTGATTAGTTCTTTAGGATGTGCTTTGACTTTATAAGTTATTAAAAATTATATTATTTAAAAGAAAAACTAATGGTTAATTATTATGGTAATTGTAAATTAAAAAAGAGGTAATTTATTTATGGCTAAATTAATAAAAATGGCCTGAATTTATATTTTGTCTAGAAAATAATATTGAATTTTCAAATATTTCAAGATTACCCTTTAAGCTTTGGAAAAATATTTGTAAATTTTTTTCGATTTTTTTACGCTTTTAAAAAAGCTTAAAATATTAATGAAAATTTGATAATTTAAAGAAAATTTTAAAATTTTTAATATTTTAAGTGTATTATTCAACAGTTTAGGATTTTTTTTTTTTTCTTTTTAAAGTATAAAAACCTTTATTTAAATATAATCTACGTCTTTATTTTAGTTTAATAAGAATTTTCAACTTTCAATTGAAGTAGTGTCGGTTCGATTAAAGTCTTATTGGGCCTCGTTAAGAAGGTGGCCCAATATCAATATGTAAAAATAGAGCTATGGCCCATTTAAGAAGGCGGCCCAACATCTAAAAGTAAAACCATGGCCCAAGAAGGCCCTGTTTACATGGATCACGTGTTAATCACGCAAAGCATGACATTGCACATTTCATGCCCCATAAAGCTTTTATATTTTACGACGATATTTGTTTCATGAGATTTTGATTCAACTATCTATCTTTGGGATGATATTAAGCATCAAGTTATGTCTATCGAGGGCGCAGAGATGGGAAGCATTTTTTGTCTTCATTCATGTCACCTATTTCATGTCCTCATCTCAGCTACCTATTTCATTATTTATTCTTACAAAAAAAAAATATATATATATTTCCATATCATCACATGATTCTTACGTAGAAAGTAACGATGTTTTCAAAAGCTCAACCTAACCCATAAATGCTGATAAATTGGCATACTTTTTGTTGTTAGGTTTCATGATCAGCTGGTAGGGAGTTTTGGCACCCAATTTTGGTAACTTTTTAAGGCTCAAGACATTCATCATCATGTGACAAGTTATTGAGTTTGTCGTTATAGTTTTGCCACCCATTCTTATATTTTCAGGGTCAGAAAATTGCCCTTAAAAACAACTCTTCCAAGCTTCCATTTTTCTGCTCCCATGGAGTTCTTCCTGTTTTTGCTTCTGCTTTTGTGCTTTTTCATGGGTACCAACCACAAATCTCTCTCTTTTTCTCTCTTTCTAACGTGTTTTGATTCATAGCTTTCCTTTTCAGACACTGATGCGGCAGTTTTCACTTTGGAGAACAAATGTAGTGACATAATATGGCCAGGAATCCAACCAGGAGCTGGGAAGCCTCAGCTCATGAGCGGTGGATTTCAGCTTAAGCCTGGCGAGATCGTAACGATCAATGCGCCTGCTGGATGGTCTGGCCGATTCTGGGGTCGTCGTGGATGTTCCTTCGACGTCTCCGGCAATGGAAGGTGTGAAACAGGCGACTGCGGTGGCGTGCTTAAATGTTCAGGCGCAGGAGGTGCCCCGCCTGCTACACTTGCAGAGTTCACCTTAGACAGTCCTTTGGATTTCTATGATGTTAGCCTTGTTGATGGCTATAACATGCCGATTTCCATATCCACATCTGGTGGCTCTGGGAATTGTCAAATGGTGAAATGCCTGTCGGACTTGAATCGACAATGCCCCCGTGGTTTGGAGATGAAGAAGAACGGTACGGTTGTTGCTTGTCGGAGTGCATGCTTGGCTTTCGACAAGCCAGAGTATTGCTGCACTGGTGCATATGGCAGCCCGCAGATGTGCAAACCGACGGTTTACTCGAAAGCGTTCAAGTTAGCTTGTCCGATGGCTTATAGCTATGCATATGATGATCCAACAAGCACATTTACATGCCAGAAAGCAAATTATTCAATTAGATATTGCTGAATGAATGATCTTTTACATTGAACTTGTGACTTACAGTAGATTCTATGACAGAATCTCCTAAAATCCTATAACTTTTAAATAGAGTACACAATGTTGTGTTCTTCTTTCTTGTATCTTCATGTTCCTTTAAGCTTACTATGTGGTCTGTACAGATCATTTTTCTGGGTTCTTGTTATTGACCCGAGCACGTGCATTTCGCTTTCGTATCGGTAAGGGTCTGCAAAAAAGACAAAGCTTTTGTGAGTAAAAGGCGTTGGTTGGTTGGATGTTCATGTGATTTCATTAACTTTGTGTTGTTAGGAGGCTACCTTGACCTGTCTCTGCAGGCCTTTAATGTATTCAATGGCCAGCTCTAGCATATCAGCTGTGCTTGTCTGCTGCAAGGAAGAGTGTTTAGATATCAAAACTGTGCAGTGTATGAAAGATTTATGAGGTGGGCTGAGGATAATTACCTTGTCCATGTCAGGAAACAGCTCCTGCAGTTTCTTCATTCGCTCACTAATTCGAATTCTTCTCATCTGCAAATTCAAGAATTTGATGAGTTACAGATGATATGAGAGTTTGATTGAACAAAGAGAGGATCGATCGATCGATTTACCCGCTCTGCGATGCTTCGTGGGTGCGTGGCGCATCCTCTTTTTGCTCGAATTTGGTGACGAACGGGCTCTTCAAATCTCAGAAACTTCTCCACTGGGTCCTTGTTGAAAGTTATAGGTAAGCTCAAATGATGAGCCAATCCACGAATGTCATTTCCTGAATCAGCATTCTGCAGAAGAAAAATTGTTTACTTGTCAGCTTTGGCCCGTTTATGTTATCACCGCCAGCCTCTCAGGTTTTAAAATGCTTCATTCCCTCTAGAATCAATTTGGGATCTCACAATCCACCTCTTAGGAGTTAGGGTCCTCGCTGGCACACCGCCCGGTGTTTGGCTCTAATATCATTTGTAAAAACACAAACCTCATCTTTAGCAGATATTTTATCTCCACTTTGACCCGTTACAAATGGCTTTAATACCATTTGTAAAAACACAAACTTCATCTTTATCTTTAGCAGATATTTTCCACTTTGACCTGTTACAAATGGCTCTAATACCATTTGTAAAAACACAAACTTCATCTACTGGGAAGAGGTTTCAACACCCTTGTAAGGAATACTTCGTTTCCCGATGTAGGATTTTACAATCCACCCCATTGGGGGTCAGCGTTCTCGCTGACATATTGCCTGGTGTCTGGCTCTGATACCATTTGTAACAGGCCAAGCTCATTGTTAGTCGTTCAATTTGGCCCGTTACGTATGACCGGCATTCTCACGGTTTTTAAAACACTTCAACTAGCGAGAGATTTCTACACCCTTATAAGGAATGTTCTTTCCTCTCTCCGGACGGAGTTTCAAAACACATGAAGCAGACAAAACTTGGCAGGTCCAAGGACTGTATAAGATGTACCTGGGTCTCAAGCAGGATTGATGTTGGAAACGTGCGTCCATTGTTATCTCTCCCTCTTTTTAAGTCTCTGATTGTTGAGCTATCCCAAGAACTTCTTACAGCTCTTATCCTTTTATTCTCCTCTTCTGCAATTGGAGGCATATGGGTTGAGGCAAACGATTGGCCAGATATGTTCATCTGGCTACCAATCCGGCTATATGGATAAGCAACATCCACATCTTTTCTGCTGCAACTCCCAAACTTCTGGATATCTCTCGCAGCATTGCCTGCTAGTCATCAAGAGAAGAGGTAGTCCTGTTAAAAAGTGACTCAGAATTCGTACTACGAGTCAAGAAAGCACAAGTGTAACCGCTCAAGCTCACCGTAATTAGATATTGTCCTCTTTGAGCTTCACTTTCGGGCAGGCTTTCCTTCAAGGTTTAGGTTTTAAAACACAGTCTACTAAAGAGAGGTTTTCACACTCATACAAGGAATGCTTCGTTCCTCTCTCAACTAATTGTGAGACCCCATGCCGGTTGGTAAGGAGAACTAAGCATTCCTTACAAGTGTGTAGAAACTTCTCTCTAACAGAAGTGTTTAAAACCTCGATGGAAGTCCGAAGTTTAAGCTCAAAGAGATCAAAGATAACAATATCGGCTAGCGATGGGCTTGGACTCTTACAACAAGAAATAGGTCCATTCAGCAGCCTTTTGCTCGAGTTCTTACGGGGTCAGATTCTTAAAAGAGTACAAGAAGATGAAGCAATCCATATTTTCACAAGAAATCAAACCAAATTCAGATTTGGAGCTAAGAACTTCACATATATGAAAGAACAAGAACCAAAACA